AGCATAGTCTCGATTATCTATTTAATCGTTTAATCGAGAAGGAATGTTATGCAGTAAATCGGCTCACAATCCACTTAAGATCGCAGGCTAGCGATGCCATCTAGATTTGATTATGGTCTGGATAAGTTAATTAATGTCTATTTAATAATTTAGATAACATTTCAGGCCTAAAGAAAAACCTGCAATAGACAGATTTAGCTCTTGCATAATGTATGTTTAATTGAAAATGAAATAAAAACGGGGTTTACCGTTCTACTTTGCTGCACCAACCGGGATAATAAAGACAGGTATACGCCATGCAGTTTGTCATGGGGGAAATTTTGCCGGGACAGTGGCGTCTCCGTCGAATTCCAACTGTCAAGGGTTCTTTTACGCACAGGAGACCTTTGTATAACTAATTATATCCCACATTATGTCCTATATAAGTAATTGTATTCGATAGAATTGTGTCCCATATAAGTAATTGTATCCCACAGACTGTGTCCTGTATATAAGTAATTGTATCCCACAGACTGTGTCCTGTATATAAGTAATTGTATCCCACAGACTGTGTCCTGTATATAAGTAATTGTATTCCATAGAAGTGTGTCCTGTATATAAGTAATTGTATCCCACAGACTGTGTCCTGTATATAAGTAATTGTATTCCATAGAAGTGTGTCCTGTATATAAGTAATTGTATTCCATAGAAGTGTGTCCTGTATATAAGTAATTGTATTCCACAGAAGTGTGTCCTGTATATAAGTAATTGTATTCCATAGAAGTGTGTCCTGTATATAAGTAATTATATTCCATAGAAGTGTGTCCTGTATAAGTAATTGTTTTCCACAGAATTGTGTCCCACACTGATCAGCAGTGACAAATTAAATTCTAAAACATTTTTGTTATGTATAAGAAAAATTAATAAAGACGTTTGACGTATTTGTAGGTAAAATTTTTTTCTATTTTAGTGCAATGAGTAAAAGGCACCATTCTGCCCGAACAAGTAATGTCCTATGTAAACAATGCACACGGCATTGAGCCAATGATTGACGCCGCATGATGTGACGTCACGTGTTGAAGGCAGTCATCTTTTACAGAGATATTAGAAGACTTTCGTAATCCTCTGTGAAATAGATTGATTGTGACCTATGCAAGTAATTATATTCCATAAAATTGTGTCATGTATGTAAGTAATTATATTTCATAAAATTGTCTCCCGTATGTAAGTAAATGTATTCCATATAATTGTGTATAGGTTTCTGTACTTATCCTGTGTATAAGAAATTGTATTCCATAGAGCTGTTGTCCAGGCAAGATATCCCCTTTTTTTTATTAGCCCAGTTGTTGCACAACATTGGGATGTTAAGCCCCATTCATCTTCGTTTCATTTCAACAGAGCTGGGTCATGTGTATTGTTACACCTTTCTGATATTAAACAAGTATATAAAAATTATGCGGCCTTAAACTGTGTTCAACGAACCTGAACTACCACTCCTCTTCAATTCTATAATATACACAGCTACGGTGCATAAGCCCATTAAAAGAATAAGATAAGATAAGATAAGATAAGATGAGATTTTATTGTACCGAAACATCCATTGAGAACAGCATACAATATAAACATAATGTACATGTCATAAATAATAATAAGTGATATTTTGGGGGGAAAAAAACCCCCAAAAAACCCAGGTGCATTTTATGTCGGTAATTAGATTTTCTCTAGCTACGAGAACGTAACTAAACACGCTGAGATATACTGATGTGCTTGTTTTTAGCTACGATTGGATGCCTTTAGTTCCAAGTGGCAAACTCAGTTTCTTTATTGTATGTACCATCTTAAAAATTAATTAATTTTATACTATTAGTACTTATTACACATACGCAGACCAATCTACTGAAACAACATTCATTTATCAGCAAATATTGACAATAAAGTAAATCAAGCATTGTTTTTTTTTTTCAAAATTGATTCGGACCTTCATAATTACGCCGTATTACTACTGCGCAACTCTGATCAGATGGGTACTTTGATTGGCTATTGCACACGAGGCCCCGCCTTTATGTGTTACAGACGCAGACGTAAATTTAAAATGTTGGTAAAAGCAATCTACTGTCGCTTTGATTTAAAAAAAAAAGGGGATTTGAACCCGTTTCAGGTAGGATTATATGCTTAATTGTAGTTGGGTGTGGCAGAAATATTATAAATAACAATAACCAATCGTTGTTTTGATTAAAAATATTGTCAATTTTGTTTACAAATGCCGGGTGCGAATCGCTCCCGCATGTGCTACATTGAAGGTAATAGCATCATCTCTTATCTCGAAACACAGAGGGTTGAAAGATAAGGTTTGTTATCTAGATTTTCTCCGGTTTATATCCGGAATAAAATGAACTTTATTCCTTTATGGTACGATCGATAAAACTGGACCTACCATTCCTCTTATTTCTATATGCTAAAAGTTTCTATAGAAGTGGTAGGTATATAAATCAAGGTTTATGACTACATCCGGCTTTAAATTACCTTTATTCGTTGATCTTTTCTAGAGGATGGGCAGGGGGGGGGGGGGATAATGATTTATGAGTAGGGTTTTACCAATAGGCCTATGTGTTTCGTGGGCGATAAACCCACTTCTCTCTTTCGATTCCCTGGTTGTACGTGGCAAGGAGTAGGATCGCATGTCCAACCTCTTGGGTTTTCTCCGGGTGCTCCGGTTTCCTGCCACTGCTAAAGAATCCTACTCGCAAGCGAATTATTGAAATAAAATTAAACCATATGTTAGTCCTGAAATGACCTAGTTTGTGTCGAGTGAACGTTACCCCCCCCCCCCTCACTCTCTCTTTCTCGTAGATGTGGGCCTGTTTCACGAAATTTTATAATTAACTAAGATAAAAATCCAAATTTTAACTAAAATTTGGATTTTTATCTTAGTTAGAAATTTCGTGAAACAGGCCCCTGGGCCTGACACTCCTCTGAATAGCTTTAGGCAACGTATTATAGACCTACTAAAAGCTTCTAATGAAAATGGTAGTAGTATATTATAATTATAATTTCCCAAGGTTATGAATTAAACAATCTTATCGTGACATTCTCGCCATATTAAACTGTATAACAATAGTCTAGTGACGTATAAACAATCCGCTGGAAACCTTTCATTTCTCTTCATTTCTGTCCATTTGATTAATAGCCACATTCCATCAGAATTAACTGATGGGAAAAAAACCAATAAATACAAGCCTACACATCGAGGCGCTGACTTTTATTATTTAATGTATGTAGAAGTTTTATCAAACTGACATCTTACCACACACGTACCATGACAACACGACCACCGACAAGCGAGTATATATTAATCAATTTCCGAATATCGTAATCTGATCGCATTATCGTATCCATCACATTGCATTTTCCGGATGTGTACACGCGTCTCTTTAATTTAAATCATAATGACCCGGAAGTTCCTATTCACATGTATTTAGAGTTGAATTTATCTAGTACTTTTAGATAAATTTATCTGACATATATTGAAAGGTGAATTTGTTCGATATTTGGAGGTACGTTTATCTGATATTTAGAGGTGTATTTATCTGATATATAGAGGTGAAATGTCTGATATGTTGTGGTCAAATATCTGATATTTAGAGGTGAATTTATCTGATATTTAGAGGTGAAATATCTGATATTTTGAGGTGTATTTATCTTATATTTAGAAGTAAATATATCTGATATTTAGAGGCGTATTTATCTGATATATAGAGGTGAATATATCTGATATTTAGAGGTAAATATATCTGATATCTGGAGGTGTATTTATCTGATATTTAAAGGTGAATATATCTGATATTTAGAGGTGTATTTATCTAATATTTAGAGGTGTATTTATCTGATATTTAGAAGTAAATATATCTGATATTTAGAGGCGTATTTATCTGATATATAGAGGTGAATATATCTGATATCTAGAGGTGTATTTAACTGATATATAGAGGTGAATATATCTGATATCTAGAGGTGTATTTATCTGATATCTAGAGGTGAATATATCTGATATCTAGAGGTGTATCTGATATTTAGAGGCGTATTTATCTGATATATAGAGGTGAATATATCGGATATCTAGAGGTAAATATATCTGATATCTGGAGGTGTATTTATCTGATATTTAGAGGTGTATTTATCTGATATTTAGAAGTACATATATCTGATATTTAGAGGCGTATTTATCTGATATATAGAGGTGAATATATCTGACATCTAGAGGTGTATTTAACTGATATATAGAGGTGAATATATCTGATATCTAGAGGTGTATTTATCTGATATCTAGAGGTGAATATATCTGATATCTAGAGGTGTATCTATCTGATATATAGAGGTGAATATATCTGATATCTAGAGGTGTATTTATCTGATATTAAGAGGTGAATTTATCTGATATTTAGAGGTGAAATATCTGATATTGAGAGGTGAATTTATCTGATATTTAGAGGTGAAATATCTGATATTTAGAGGTGAAACATCTGATATTTAGAAGTGAATGTATCTAATAGTTAGAGGTGAATTTATCTGATTATCTGATACTGGATATCTGCCAATACTATACAATGAATGAAGACTGTGGGGAAACCACACAGGAAAATCTTGCGGTATAATCTCGACCAACACAGGTACCTCCTGGTTAGTGAGTCCCTGCATCTTACTTACTGAGTCACCGTGGCTCCTAGAGAATTTGATATACATAGGTATTTGGGACAATTTGATTGGCCGGGGTGGGTGTGTGTGTGTGTGTGGGGGGGGGGGGGGGGCATAGAATAGCACAAATAGTGCCAGATACCAATTAAGTGGAATGTACCATTTTTTTGCAGGATATAAATATTGACATTATTGAGATCCTTGATACTATCAAAAAGTTCTTTTAACCTATTTGCCACGAATATCAGTATTTAGGGGAGTACTTTTCACCTCTCCACCCCAACACACACATAGCCTGTACGCCCTTATTAGTATTTAAACATGAGTAATAGGGCCTATACATCATTTTATTATACACAATAACAAAAAAAAAACTAACAATAACAAATACACCAATATTCAGTCATCTCCTCGCATAAAATCCACCAACATTGAAATAATTGAATACATACAAAGTTTCTAGAAACATAATTTTTTTGTATAGTCAATTTGTACACTGTCTTGCGCATCATTAAAGATTCATTATGTAAGAGCTAACCCTACCTATTACAGGTTTTTATTTTGGCTTCAAAAGTTACATAAATTATTATTTAGACATTTATTCACATGACAAGCCCATAATCAACTCTACACCCCATCAAATGGCGCAGATTAAAATACAGAGTCTCCATTAAGATGAGTCTTCTTTAACAAGTAACGTTGCTATGTCAACAACGTTTCATGTCAGAACTTCAAACTGTGATAACATAGTTCAGAATAAAGTAATTTGGAAGAAATTTTTTATATATTAATTCGAATTATCTATTTTTGAACTACGGTATTATAGCAAGAACCTTCAGTTCTTTATCTAAATCTTACATAATGCATCTATAACAATTAATTCCATAATCTTTGAATTCAAATATTTCAAAATTTTTACCCAATTGCATTTCTTTCAAATTCATAACAATGATGTTTGCCTTTATCTTAAATTCATAAATTTATATCAAATTTGAGCATAAGAAATAGCAATATATTCTACAATTGTTTATACAAATTTTTTTTTGATTTTTAAATGAATGTGATCATGGAATTTATTATTATTTGTTACCACATAATAAAATCCTTGATCAGATTGCTTTTATTATCGTTTTAAACATGCTATAAAAATTACTGGTCATATAAACATAGAAATTGAAGTTATTTTAATGAATTCAAAGTTATTTTAATGAATTCAATTCAAAGTTATTTTAATGAATTCAATTCAAAGTTATTTTAATGATTTCAAAGTTACGTTAATGAATTAAAAAATTCAAAGTTATATTAATGAATTCAAAGTTATATTAATGAATTCAAAGTCATTTTCTCTTTTATTATCATATACTATATTACAATGAACTCAAAGATATTTTCTGTTTTATCAAACATTAATGTCCCATAAAACTAACTTATAATGTAAACTCATAAATTGAAATTATTATGACAAATTCAAAGTAATTTTCTGGTTTCTAGAAGTGAAAGACCTCCACTGCAGTCAATGCACTCTCCTTACTGCTGTCATTAAGATTCTTGTTGGTATCAAATATCTAAGTCAAGTGGTTGCTTTCAGTAATTATTAATGGTGGTTAACAATCAACACTTGATCAAAATGAAATGAAATGAAATGAACTTTCTCGGCCAACCCAGGGATCGAATACAAGACCTCCAGCGCATAGTGGTCTTAAGCAGTGGGAGGATTTAAGTCCACTTGAGAGAAACTAGGTCATTTTTGGACTAACATATGATTCAATTTTATTTCAATAATTCACTTGCACATTGGGGTCTTTAGCCGTGGGAGGAAACTGGTTTGACAGGCGACCCTACTCCTTGTCACATACGACCGGGGAATCGAAACCACACAAGTTGACTCAATGACAGACCTTATGATACAACTAACCATTTGGCCATCCACCCCTTCACCCCCCCCCCCCCCGACCCATCCACCCAGATTCTTTGAAAATGAATAATGGATACCGGTGTCACAATATTTGAATTTGAACCCAGATGATAAATGTACCTGGTAATGGGACTGAATATCTACACTCCACATACTACATGTTCAGCACACGATATTCCAGAGTTCCTTGATTCAACCAATCTTCTGTGCTCCAGAATCAAATTTCAACCCATGAAGCATGAGACGGACTCAAATAATTAACATTTTATTTGGGTCCTCAGATGTATGTTAAAAGATTTTTTGGGTTGTACCTCTAGCGATGACTGTACAATCCTGCACAGAAGATAGAGAATGTTACCATGTAACAAGTGTAACCATATTTATCTCTGAGATTAAATACAGTATAAAGGAGCTGAACCCTTGGAAATCTGGGATTGCTCCTTTAATAAAAAAAAACCAAAACAGACAAAATTATTTTTTCATGATGACACCATTTACTTATCCTGCTAAACTTATGCTAGGTCCCACTATCACAATTCAGGCTACGATTGAAATTGTGGTGATCCTATCAGGTCTTATCATATATTGAAGTCAGTCGTAGCAGTCGTGTTGATCACGATCGTATTGAAACGTATCCGAACGTATCTACACGTACCAGATCGTGGACTCAATGGGGACAATCCTATTGTAACAAATCGCACGACAGTGGGAACCTTGCATTAACAAAAACTTCAAAATGTCTGCAGGGTCTAAATCTGATGTTATATGCTATTATTAGACACCGGTATCCATTCATCATTTTATTTGAGACGATTAAAAGCTGAAATTTAAAGACTCTATACATGATTTTAGCACAATAGAATCCTTTGCAAACTTCAATATTGGGAAAGATGAATTTCTAATATTACTATCAGTTCATAAATGATTCAATTCCATTCAGAGAGACAGAGAGATGGGGTTTAACTCCACTCAACACAAACTAGGTCATTTCGGGACTAACATATGGTTTAATTTTATTCCAATAATTCGCTTGCGGGTAGGGGTCTTTAGCAGTGGGAGGAAAGAGGAGGACCCGGAGAAAACCCATGAGGGTTGGACAGGCAACCCTATTCCTTGTCACATTATTCCATTCAGTATTTACAAAGATATAAAGAATAGAAAATTGCATCGGTCTATGCTGATCCCCATCTGTATCTTCTGTGAACCAAATTGATGGACCTTTTTTAAATCTTATTGAAACCAAGCTGGAAGATTATCTAGCATTAGTATTTTGATTTTGGTTTCTAATTAAATGTTAAGCAATCAAATTGAGTACATATTTACCGTGGATTGATATTTTAGCGAAAAATGCAAATCATGCATCGTTGCTTTAAAACAAGACTCTAAAATCGATGTAAAAAAACAAAATGGCAAGAATTATAGTCAACTTGACATTTCAAATATTAAATGAGTTATTCCTTTAAACATACATTATGCAAGAGCTAAATCTGCCAATTGCAGGTCTTTCTTTAGGTCTGAAATTTTATCTAAATTTTTAATTAAACGTTAATTAACTTATCCAGACCATAATCAACTCTCGATTATCGTACAGACTTTAATAATAATGATCAAGGCCGAAATTTCAATCGCTTACTTCTCGGTTCATAGTAGATAAATGTGACTGAAATTTTCAGCAAATTGCCTTTACATTAGTTTTTAACTATTATAATGAGAACTACCAGCTCTTTATCTAATCTCCCATAATGTATCTTTAATTAAATGTTAATCAATCAATACGAGTACATATTAACCGTGAATTGATATTTTAGCGAAAAATATAAATCATGCATTGTTGCTTTTAAATAAGACTCTAAAATCAATGTATAAACAAAATAGATAGAATTCAAATATTAAATGTGTTATTCCTTTAAACTTCAAAGAAACAAGAATACAAATGTATGTTTATTTCCGAATGTTTTTAAATCGGCTGCCATTTTTTGACGTAAATGATTGACAAAATATTCTAAATGGAAAGAAGTATGCAAATGTATACTTAAAGATGGCTAGATCTATTTCTCAAGGCCTCTTCCAGATTTCGACAAGGTTGCCGAGATGTAAATAAGGTTAGGGTACGTGATTGTTGACGAGATTGTGGGTTAGGGTTTGGGTAAGGGTTAGGTCCAGGGTTGGGATTAGCGCTAGCCCTGTTTACATCTCATGACCTTTGACCGAATCTGGAGGGAGCCTTACGAATTAGGTCTAACCCTTATAGATGCATTACGTAAATAAGGTAAGTGCAAGAGCTAAATCTGCTTCTAGTAGGTCTTCATTTTGGCCTCAAATGTTATATAAACTATTAATTAGAAATTTATTCACATGACAAGCCAAAGATTACGCTATTTTAATCAAAACTTTTAACACCGATAACTTCGCTCAGAATAAACTTGACTGAGGCTTAGTCACATTCCAATACTCATAACTTAGCTCAAAATAAAGTATAATACAACACAGTTCTATGGCTAACAATCACTACATGTATATTATATATACACGACGTTTGGACATGAATTCACTGGTCGTTATCAAGCATACAAATTACAAAATGAATTCTTGTCGAAACGTTGTGTGTATATAATATAGTGATTGTTATCCATAGAACTGTGTTGTGTTATATTATGTTCTATCGCTAAATGCTATTCAAAGATTACATTAGGATAAAGTCATCTATTTTTGAACTATTATCGCAGGAAAGACCAACCAGCTCTTTAACTAAATCTGACATAATGCATCTATAACCAGGAACCGTTTACTAGAATTTAGACGGGGGGAAAATACAAAAATTTATGGTAATATCATGGTAAGATTACAGCAAGAAAGGCCAGAACTTTATCAAAATCTTACATAATGCATCTATAACTATCGACCGTTTACTAGAATCTAGAAAGGGAAAATACAGAAATTTATCGTATATCATGGTAAGATTACAGCAAGAAAGGCCAGCGCTTTATCAAAATCTTATATAATGCATTTTACTATGGACCTTTTACTAGAATCTAGACAGGGAAAATACAAACACTTATGGTAATATGTTGAAAAGATTTCTATAAAGATATCATATATATATAACAAATAGATATAACAACCACTAATCTCATATATAACCATACATTCATCCATACTTTGTTATTAATGTTTCTAATTCAACTTGGGCTTCTTTATCCTGTGGAAAAAAAACAAAAAAAAAATAATTCAGGAATAAAATGGGGTTTAATGTTCTTATTTTTTTCTCTGTTCACCAAACAATGTGCCACGAGGGAAATTTAGCCCTGACAGCAGCGCTACGGCCTACGTTCAGCTCTGACTGGGTTTATATCGCATTCAAACTGCCAAGAGTTCTTTTACGTGCAAGCAGCTAATGTGTATACAGGACCTTGGTTTTTTTTGTTCCATCTGAATGACTATTTGTTGTCCCTTGCAAGGCCCTGTGTCCTGTACCACTGACAAATGAAATGGGGTTTAACGTCCTACTGTTCTGCTCCTATACTGGACTAATGAAGACGGGCAAATGCCATACAGTGTGCTATGAGGAAATTTTGCCCGAGCAGCGGCACTATCGCCTACTCTTATATCGAATTCCAACTGCCAAGGGATCTTTTACGTGCATTCTAATGTATACACGGGACCTCGGTTTTTCGTCTCATCCGAAGGACTAACCACTGACAAAGGGGAACCATACCGGAAAATCCAAATAAAACTTTTTTGGCTTAACACCGGGATGGATAACTTTAAAAAAAAAAAACCAATAAAATATAGGCCTACTTACGTTAGCATCTTTTATAGGGACTTTAAAGGCATTATTTAACCATTCTTTGGCCTTATCATATTTTCGTAATTCTATATAACACTGTGAAATATAAAAACAAATATAACAGTGTAAAATATAAAACAAAACAAATATAACAGTGTGGAATATAAAAACAAATAAAACACTGTGAAATATAAAAACAATACAATATATAATGTTACGTATAAAATATCAGTCCTTCACGTTTAACTTAAGTTTAAAGTGTGCATTCACTTCTGTTCGACGCACCTTGACTTTCACGCAAATTAGCTAAATCACTCTCCAAAGTATTGAGATTAATAACTACTTTCAGTTTTTGTTTATTTTAAAACTGCATACGTTCGAGCTATCAGTTTCCATGATGATAATTCTGACGCTTCCATATTCACCAAATATATCACCCATGTTTTCATTCTGAAATCTAATGCTAGTGTAGGCAGTATCTTCCATAAGGACATATAAAGAAAATGTTAATCAAGACTAAAGCATAAATACAATTCAAGAAAATGTAGACTTACTCATGCAATATAATTATGAATATTTTTATATGGGAGCTTTTTTCTCATTTTTGAAATAAGCAGAAGTTTTTTTATGTTTCCAGCACAATTTCATAAATGTGAAGGACTGAAATACATTATAATTAACTATACACAGACAATTACATAACTTTAAGATATTTCATCATGCGGCTTAAATTCTAGCATTCAAGCGGCAGTTAGATATCTCCAATGTAGGTTGGGGCTGTCTGAACAATTCCACCAAGTTCCGACAAAATTCCATTGAGAACTTTTCATATACTGCATTTACCGTAAAAGTCAAAATATGATACAGAAACATAACTCAGAAAAACTTGTTTGAAATTTACGAATGGAAAAATTAAAAATTTTGTGAGTTCTTGCATATACCCTAATTATTTCGTTTTGTTTTTTTTTAGTTCAAAATTTCGTTTTACTTGTCTTTACTACACTAGGATCTGGAACGGTTGTTATATTACCAGCTTTCTGGTTGAAGTGAGGGATGAGCCAATGAAACGGTCTGTTACGACGAGTTCTTGACGTGCAAGAACTGTGGGTAAACCACTAGAAACGTCACCGCTGATTGATCAATCAATGGTTGACGTCATAGGGTCAAAAGCAGCTCTTACGACCCCTGACACGATCTTCCACTACAACCAGTCAGATCTTCATGTAGCGTAGGCCATTGAAAGTATAAAAAAAAGTAACGAAATATATATCTGTATTTTAATCAGATTACCCTTATGTATTTTTCCACCAAGATTCACATAATTTTATCAAGAATTTTGTTCTGTATCACTTTCCGAAGAATTGATAAGTTTGTATGTAAACAGGGAGATAACTCCACTATTTGTGATCAAAACAATTTTAATTCAAAAGAATTATTTCCTTACAAAAAACATTTACTCGAATTTGAAAAATAAATCTGTTAAGAATATAGAGAAGTTACTTAAAATTTAGGAATGGAAAAATCCTAACGTGAAGTAGCCGTGTTTGCGGAAAATAAACCAAGGGGAATTAAGCCTGATTGTCATTTGTCAACAGACTAATTCTGGTAAACATGTACATAAAGGTTTACCCATGTCCGAACATTTAACTTACTTTAGCAATAAATAACATATTCTCCTTCCACTTTACTGGTTTTAATTTATCAGCCTGAAAAAAAAAATAATTAAAAAATACAATTACCAGTAATATTATACATAGTAGGTTTGTCTACTTTCAGAGGATTCGATTCTCAAGTTGCCTGAGAAAGTCTCGAGGATTTTTCAGCCTTGAGTTTCCATTGAACGAGATGCAGGATTTAGGACCTAAAAAGGAAACCACAGTTCCGTACACCCTTGGCAGCCCCATGAAGGATCTCCTGAAAATTGGGAATCATGACATAAGAGTAGGTCCTAGCAACGCTGTTCGAACAAACTATTTTGGAATCCTTACCAACTATTTTTCACCCTGATTTTTTTCTGGCCACATGTGACACAAGGAGATTTATGCGATTAAAAAATATACCCAAAATATGTTTAAACTGATCAGCCATTACGAGATTCGAACAAGCGCAGACCACGTTTTTTTAATCACAAAATTAACTTAAATTACTATAAAATGATTCCTTTTTGCAAAAAATAAAAAATCACAGTGAAATATAGAAGGTAAAGCTTCCAAAAATAGCCTTAGAACAGAGGTGGGGAGAGCGGTATTTTCATATTGCAGCTATATAGGGACTTACAGGAACAGTTAGGGGACATCGTCCGATCAGAGACAGTTCCTAAAGGAACTAAATTACCTGTAGGAATTCTTCTAATGCTTCTTCTATCGTGGCAGTTGGCGGAGAGGCAAAAAGTGTAGAAGCTACTTTTCTTTCTAACCATGACAACATATACACCTAAAAAATTCATAGAACATTTATTATTAAAGAACTTATTATCTAGAAAAACACTCAAAGGGGAGGCAGGGCTATATGCATAGCTATTATTTATATTTGGCTAAAATTTAATCTTTGATATACAGTTGAATTCAAAATACATTCCTTGTTTACCCATTCATAATGTCATTAATTGTAAACCAACGTTATTTTGGCAGTCAACTAATTTAAACAGGCAATATGAAAGAGCTAAATCTGCGTATTACAGATCTTTCTTTAGGCCTTAAATGTTATATATATTATTAATTAGACATTTATTAACACGAGAAGACCATAATCAACAGATTTAAATCAGATCTGCAGCTCAGAGTGAAGTAATTTGACTGATATTTTCATAATTATTCTCTTTATATTATCTATCTTTTTAAACTATTATAGCAAAAACTGTCAGCTTTATCAAATCTTTAAGACGTGGGGTTTACTTTGCAGGTTCTCGGATTAAAAAAGCTGAAAATGGCCATAAATATGCTTATTCTTGCTATCTCTTTTCTCTCCATCAAGTTTGAGTGGTGGCTAAGTGGGTAAGACGCTGGCTCGCTAGCCTGGGGAGGTTGGGTGTTTGATTGCTGCATTGGCCGAGAAAGTTCATCCAGATTTTCCAGCATGGTTCCCGATTGTCAGTGTTGCAGGACAGAGGGCCTGACAAGGGCAGCTGTCTAGTCGTTCGGATTGTACGGAAAACTGAGATCCCATGTACACATTGGCGTGTACGTAAAATATCCCTTGACAGTTGGAATTCGATATAAGAGCAGGCCGTAGGGCTGCTGTCCGTGCAAAATTTCGCTCATAGCACACTGTATGACATATGCCCGTCTTCATTAGTCCAGTTCAGAGCAGAACAGTAGGATGTTAAATTTCATTTCATCCTGACGATAAATAAAAGCTTTAACTGATGCTATACTTACACTATAACACCATCGCCCTAACATATAATGATTTGATGGGTCTGATGGGTTGAGTTCTATAGCTCGCTTCGTGTGTTCCTACAAAGAAGAAAAAGATAGGTTGCCAGGCAACGAAACATAAGACCACAGCAACTAAATCATCCTAGCAGTGGTTTCAATTCCCCGCTTGTACATGACAAGGAGTTAGGTCGCCTGTCTAACCCCATGGATTTTCTCATGTCCTCTGGTTTCCTCCCACTGCTAAAGATCCCTATGCACAAGCGAATTATTGAAATAAAATTGAACCATATGTTAGTCCCAAAATGACCTAGTTTGTGTTGAGTGGACATTAAACCCCATTTCTCTCTCGCCCTCTCATAGGCGTACGGGGAAATTTTTGACTGGGGGGGGGCGGTGGTGGTTGGTGCCCAAAAAATGTAGTTAGGTTCTTAGTATATTACATAATAATAATAAATTTGCTGTTAAATTGGACACATTCAAGAACACAATATCTTTTATTGTACAACTTTTACAAAATACAATTATTGTGTGCCCAAATTTTCCCAGCATTTGGTGCCTAAAAGGGGGGGCGGCCGCCCCCCCAGCTCGTACGCCTATGCTCCCTCTCTCTCTTTTATCTAAAGACACAAAATTTTCAACGATACATATTCATGTTTCATGCGTTATCTCTTTGATAATAATATTATTATTATAGTTTCTTACCCGAATTAGGAATCCATTTTTAATTTTATCTTGTGTGCTTTGATATTCATTTAGACTTCCAAGTGTTATAGCATACCTAAAAATAAAAGTACGTTAAGAAAACAAAAATTAAACTTTTGAAAGAAATTTATAGAATAATTACTTTTGACTATCAACAAAAACTGAGCATGGTATTAATATGTTGAGAATTAAAGATACATTCCCAGGTACAAACTGGGTAATTTGATGATATATTTGGACTAAAAAACATATTCAAACTAATTAATTTATCATAATTTTGCTTCAAATCATTCTCAAAACACTGCAATTGTGTCAAGTGACTTACCTCTCTCAGTCTTAGCAACGGAAGCGAAGTCAGAGGAGAATTCATTGCATACACAAGAAGATGTTGTCGTTAATCGCTGACTATTTATTACAAATATTGAAGCCTAATTAAATTCTCGGATTATCCATGGCCTGCGACTTTTTCCGTTTATCAACATGTACATCAAGTGCTCAATCTCCGCATGCAACCTTCGACGTCATACGGGCAAACACTCCTAATTGCGGGCTGTTGATTAGGGAAACACTTACATTTATGTCAGGTATGCACACCATGAGTGTTTTTCATGGAATCCAGTATTTTTCTAGTAAGATTGGATATTTCTACTTTCCATACATACCAAAATTGCCATACTTTTATTGGAAATAATCACCCAATAAATACTTTTCTGGGAACGTACCTTTAAGCACTTGTCTAGTGCACACAAAACTAATCATAGGCACATCAATGGAAAAGATGTAAAATGGGGTTTAATGTCCTACTGTTCTGCTCTGACTAGGCTAATGAAGACGGGCATACGCCACACAGTGTGCTATGAGAGAAATTTGGCCCGGACAGTGGCACTATGACCTACTCATATCGAATTCCAAATGCCAAGGGATTTTTTACATGCACTCCAATGTATACATGGTACCTCGGTTTTTCGACCCATCCAAATGACTAGACAACTGTCCTTGTCAGACCCTTCATTTGCATCAGTTATACATGTACTTATTTGATTCCCTGATGAACTTTCTCAGTCAACACTTGGAGCGAACCTTCGACCTCCTGCCTAGCCACTGTGGCTCCCCCAAACGACAAGAAGGGACTTCATTGGGTTCATTTCACGTGTAAATTTTAAAATAAAATATTAGTAATACTGTACCATTTATGTGCATTACCATCTTGTTGGTTTAAAGACAGAGAGGTAGTAGCGTTTTCTACGGCTTCGTAAAGAAGTTCTTTTTTTCTTTCAGGATTACCCTGTTCGTTAAATATCTGCGCCAAGAGATACGCTGACTTAGATAATCGCCAATAATATTCTTCTGTCCCTGAGATCTAGAAGAGAGAAATGAGATTTAATGTTCCCTTCACAATAATGAGAAATTGAAATGAAATGAAATGGGTTTTAACGTCCTACTGTTCTGCTTCTATACTGGGCTAATGAACCCGGGCATCCGCCATACAGTGTGCTATGAGGGAAATTTTCCCCGGGCAGCATAACTATCGCCTACTCTTATATCGAATTCCAACTGCCAAGGGATCTTTTACGTGCATTTCAATGTATACACAGGACCTCGGTTTTTCGTCTCATCCGAAGGACTAGACAGTGGTCCTTGTCAGGCCTCACAATAATGCTCAGAGAGAAGTAGAAATGGGGTTTAACGTCCACTGCAAAATTTTGCAAACAGGTCGGATTAAAAAGGTATTTTTCCAAGAAATTTTGTCGGCCAACACCGGGATCAAATCTGTGGCTTCCTGGTTAGTGAGTAAGTACCATACTGTGGGAGGCCGAGAAGACTCAATTCATAACAAATAGTAAATAAGTTGTTATCATCATATTTAGTATGAAACAAGGCTGCTGAGGGTCTAGAAGATAATGCTAAAAGCTATTCCTATAATTGGACCGAGGGCCTGGCAAGGGACAATGTATAGTCGTTCGGATGGGATAAAAAATTGCGATTCTGTGTACACATTGACATGCACCTAAAAGATCCCTTAGCAGATGGAATTCGATATAAGAGTGGGCAATAGTAGGCCCCTCTTAACATCCTAATCTGAGAGAAATTTTGCCTGAACAGCTGTGCTGCAGCCTACTCTAATTTCGGATTCCACATTTCAGGAGTTCTTTCAAGTACACAGGTCCTTGGGGAGACAGAAATGGGGTTTAACGTCCATTCGATACAAACTAGGTCATTGCGGGACTAACACATGGTTCAATTTTATTTCAATAATTCGTTTGCGCATCGGAAACCAGAGGACCCTGAGAAAACCCATGAGGCTGGACAGACGAACCTACTCCTTGTCACATACAACCGAGTAATCAAAATCACGCCAGTTGACTCAATGACAGACCTTATGATGCAGCGTGCACGTGCTAACCATTCGGCCATCCACCCCCCCTATAAACTATGGTACCTTTGATTTGTTTGCAATTAAAAGTTCATAGGCCAGCTGTTTATCATCATTACTCCCTTCAAATAAATCTTCTGTTTGTTTGAAGATATCCCGAGCTGCGATGTCCGTTCCTACTGTCGAGTTTTCTGTTAACTGAACATATTCACCTGTTAGTTCCTTCAGGGATTCTAAATCACTCCTGAAAAAAGAAATGTTTTAGAATGTTTCTGAAAAATATTTTGGTCAACAGAATTTGACAATCACAAAAACTTTCATTCTGTATGAAGTATTGTAGAGAGAGAGAGAGAGAGAGAGATGAGGTTTAATGTCCAGGTCAACACAAACTAGGTCATTTTGGGACTAACTCAATTTGGCAATCACAATAATTTTCATTCTGTGTGAAGTATTGTAGAGAGAGAGAGAGAGAGAGAGAGAGAGAGAGAGTGGGTCCAATGTCCACCCGACACAAACTAGTTATTTTGGGACTAACACGATCAAGAATCTGATGTCAAGTAATTTTGGTTACATCTACATCTCAAAATAATTTTTGTCCCCAAAATTTACACAAAAGTATAATTTGTACTTAATTCAATTGTCGATTACATGGTTCAATTTTATTTCCATAATTCGCTTGAGTGGAAAAGTATTTAGCAGTGGTAGGAAACTGGAGGGCCCGGAGAAAACCCACGAGGTTGGACAAGCGACCCTACTCCTTGTCACGTACAAATGAAATGAAATGAAATGGGGTTTAACGTCCTACTGTTCTGCTCCTATACTTGGTTAATGAAGACGGGCATACGCCAAACAGTGTGCTATGAGGGAAATTTTGCCTGGACAGCAGCACTACGGCATATTCATATATCGAATTCCAACTGTCAAGGGATCTTTTATGTGCACGCAAATGTGTACACAGGACCTCGTTTTTTTCGTCCCATCCAAACGACTAGAGAGCTGTTTATGTCAGGCACCCTTTCCTGCATCACTGACAAGGGGGAACCACGCCGGAAAATCTGGATGAACTTTCTTGGCCAATGCAGAGATCGAACACCCGACCTCCAGGCAGTAGTGGGAGGATATTGGATGACCCCAAGAAAACCCACCAGGTTCAATAACTGACTTTATGATCTGACCTGCATGAGCTAAATCATTCTCCACCCAACACACTAGTAGTGCTGTTTACAGTAAGGGGGTATTAGTATTGTTACCCTAACAGTGGTATACCAACAAAGGCAGAATGACAATCTGGAGGATAGATTCAATAATCCCCCCTAAGGTACAGGACTACTAGGGTTGTATGGTACTGGTTCAGACATCCTAGTTTTAAAAACTCTTAAGTGTGAGAAGAAGAAATTATTGATTTTTTTCAGAATTCAGTCAAGAATAATCTCTATTATCAGATAATACATGTAGAACAAATTCAAAGAAGATGATTAAAGCAACTTCTAACAAACAAATATGTATAGTAACCAATTGCATCATTATGGGAGATTGACAGTTCTCGCTATAATAGTTAAAAAATAGATAACGTAAATAGAATATGCTGAAAATTTCAGTCAAATTGCTCTACTCTGAACCGAGATATTAGCTTGGTCTAATAAATAATTTAGATAAAATTTTAGGCCTAAAGAAAGAGCGGCAATAGGCAGATTTAACTCTTGCATAATGTATGTTTAAGCGGAATAGTGTGGTGGATTTCGCAGTGGCCAGTGGCTATAGACAGATTGGCTGATGAGAAGGTAATAATAACATTCAGCAATGCAGTGTGTGGGATAAATAGACCTTATACTGAGATCTTATTTGATGCCACAGCCTGGAGCTCAATGTAATCATAATCCGATTCTATCAGGAATCATGTGGTGTACTTGCTTATGTCAGCTTATTTTAATCTTTGATCATCAGGTGGTGTTTAATCGCCTTTCAATTAGCAAGAGTTGTCTCCCATTAGTGCGATGAAATCGATTGTTTTGCCGGCATTATGGCGTTATTTATCGTGTTTTTCGAGAGAGAAAATGCAAATTTACTTACCCGCCATACGCGTCTTGATATATATCATCATCATCTTCGCCGCTGCTTGCTGTTACAGAGTAAAAACCCTGCAACCTCCGTCTTTTTCGAATGGTGAACTTCTCCTGGAAAGCTCCGACCTCATCACGAAGCTTTGCAACCGAGGCCGCGAGCTCTCTCAAGTCACGGCTTATAGAATTGAGGCGAACCAATAACAGTGTCAAGCCACTGCCTAAAAGAACGCTTGCCCCAATTCCCGAAATAATGGTTGCATTCTGTCGAAAGAATGACATAATCAGTCAAGTTGTTTAGCTTAGTTATAATAATAAATATATTTCAACCATAATTATCAAAATAGTAACCTTTGATGCACAACTGGTACGCCATCTATGGGCCGATAACTCGTTATGGCCAAAAAATGTTTCTCCGAACTTTACGTCAATGGTTAAAATAGTTTACCAAATATTCTTGTAAAAATGAAATATTATCAAAGTCAAACTACGAAAATTCTCCACCTTATAACACATTTTAGTGGTCTTAGAATTTTAAGTAATTGGATGTTGTGTTCGCGGGAAATTTAACAACAAATTCTAGGCCTATGTTGATAAGCCTATATTGACTAATAAGCTTCGAGAATATTGACTATTTTCATCAGAAATGTCCCAAATAAAATTCAAAAATATATATATATATAAAAGAAAACGTTTGCCACAATATTAAAATTGCAAAAATGAGTTTCCTGTCCACAAGAAATTTTTGGTTATTACTTATCATTAGGTGATTTAATAGACCCCTTAAAAAATAAATGGAGTTGCCTCCCATGAAATCCAACAGTCCATAATTTTAATTTTTATCCAGAAAAGCAACACCAAGTCGGACATTTGTGTTGTTGAAAAGGTAGTCAGCACGGCCCAGCAGACCCCCGCCCCCACCAAAAAAAAAAAATCACAACAAAAACAAAAACAAAAAAACCCAACAAAGACAAACTATAAGCATCATAATAAATCAATTGATGTCTGTTAACAAATAGGTTCCGAATAAAAAAAAAATGGGAACCAAATAAGTACTTACATGTATAACTGATGCAGACGAAGGGGCCTGACAGGCACAACTGTGTAGTCGTTCGGATGGAACGAAAAACGGAGGTCCCGTGTGCACATTGGCGTGAACGTAAAAGAAGCCATGATAGAGTTGGAATTCGATAGGCCATAGTGCCGCTGTCCGGGCAAAATTTCCCTCATAGCGTCCGCATTCATTAACCCATGGGGATCACGTGGCTAAGTGGGTAAGACGCTGGCTCGCTAGCCTGGACGTCGTGTGTTCGATCCCTGCATTGGCCGAGAAAGTTCATCCAGATTTTCCGGCGTGGTTTCCCCTTGTCAGTGATGCAGGATGGAGGGCCTGACAGTGACAAGGACAGCTGTCTATTCGTTCGGATGGGACGAAAAACCGAGGTCCCGTGTACACATTGGCGTGCACGTAAAAGATCTCTTGGCAGTTGGAATTCGATATAAGAGTAGGCCGTAGCGCCGCTACCCGGGCAAAATTTCCCTCATAGCACACTGTATGGCGTATGCCCGTCATCATTAGCCCAGGTTAGGAGCAGAACAGTAGGACGTTAAACCCTATTTCATTTCATTTTTTCCCTCGAGTCGCATACGCCCCGAGAGAAACCGGTTACCCCGATTCAGTGTTTTTCTTTTTGTTGATGTCGGAGACCGAACAAGATAAATTAATTAAAACAGAAAAGCTTGTTCGGTCGGTAATGTTTTTTTTTTATTTAGCATGATTTAACTATCCAGATGTGTCCTCTGGGTTTTCAAATTATAATTTATGTGAAATTTGAGACAAATCTCCCCACCCACAGCCGGTTTAAAATTCCTTTTAAGTCACGTGCATTATACCTTTCAGATTTATCGTCTTGGGTATTTCGAAAAAATTTCACGGACTCTAATGTAAAAGTCTTGATTTGCTCTAACATCAGGAGAACCGCGCTATACACATAGCCGCGGACGAAACATAATCACAAACGAACATTGCTAAAGACTACCAAATGAAGTGAGTGGATGCGAGGGCTCTAAGGCAATGAATGTTAGGGGCGCAGACATTTCGGGTTACAGACGGCAGCCATCCCACCCCACTCCATCAGAGAAAATTTAACCGCCGCAAATACGTTTTTCTGCTAGTCGATTTGTAAGTGAAATCTAACTCTATGGCGACCCGAATTACAATAATCCAGTCAGACTGTTGCATCTGCATTCACCCACAAACGCATTCTCCCAAACCCCCAACAAACAAACGGAAGAGTGAGCACCTCCCAAACATCGTATTATGCTCAGCCCTTTCTTTGATTTTCGCAATTTGATTAAAATACAGATCTATATTTCGTTTAGGTTTTTATACTTTCGATGGCCTACACTACATGAAGATCTGACCAGCTGTACTGGGAGGTCGCGTCAGGGTTCATACCATCGGCTTTTGACCTATGACGTCAGACACTGATTAATCCATCAGCGTTGACGTTTCTAGGGGTTTACCCACAGTTCCGTGCAGAGCACGCCAAGAACTCGCCGTAACAGATCGTTTCATTGGCTAATTCCCCTTATCAACTAGAACACCTGTTATATAATAACCCTAGTGTTGTGAAGACAAGTAAAACGAAAATTTGAACATTAAAAACGAAACGAAATAGGATTTGTGTTTTAGCCAGATTGTGAATTTCGTAGATAACGAAACGAAATAGGATTTGTGTTTTAGCCAGATTGTGAATTTCGTAGATAACGAAACGAAATAGGATTTGTGTTTTAGCCAGATTGTGAATTTCGTAGATAACGAAACGAAATAGGATTTGTGTTTTAATCAGATTGGGAATTTCGTAGATAAGAAACCTCATCTCTCAACCCTCCGTGTTTCGAGATAAGAGATGGTGCTATTTTGATCCACCTGACAAGGCCCGATGCAGATCAGATCGGGTATCAATAAGCAAACCTGACAATTTTTTCTTCAAAACAACGATTGATTATTGTTATTTATAACATTTCTGCCACTTCCAACTACAATTAAGCATATAATCCTACCTAACACGAGCACAAACCACCCCTTTTAAATCGAGGCGATAATAGCTGGCTTTTACCCGGCATTTTAAATATGACATCTTTACGTCATGAAGGTGGGGCTAATTTTTATGTCATGTACAACAGCCAATCAAAGTACTAGTTGCACAGGACTAATACACCGTAATTATGAATGTCCATATCAATTTTGATAAAAACAATGCTAATTGAGTCCAATTAGGGATAACGTATAGTTGTTCGGTTGATACGAAAAACCGAGGTCCCGCGTACACATTGGCGTGCACGTAAAAGAACCCTTGACAGTTGAAATATGAAATAAGAGTAGGCCACTTACATTTACGCCACTTTGCTGAATGAGATAGGTTCAACTCTTTTTTACCACTTCACGGAGGTGTTATTTATCATCAAATGGGAGATGGGGTTTAACGTTTCATTTTCTCAAATAGTGCCAAAAGCTCGTGATTTTAAATTGAAATCATCGGTGCTATATTACAAAGCAGTGGAGTAATTTATTTCAGCAGTGGCGCATTTGTCCCACTACTTACTATTTCCAACCTCGTGGGTTTTCTCCGAGTCCTCCGGTTTCCTCCCACTGCTAAAGACCCCTACGCGCAAGCGAATTATTGAAATAAAAATTAAACCCTATGTTAGTCCAGAAATGACATAGTTTGTGTCGAGTGGACGTTAAACCCCATTTCTTTCTCTCTCTCTCTCTCTCTCTCTCTCTCTCTCTCCTTACTATTACCAAGTTACTAGATGACCTGGGGCCGGTTGCTCGAAACTAAGTTATTTTAAAGGGACAATAACACTCTTGCTGGCTTGAAAGCTCCAGAAAATAAATAATATCTCTATCTAAGTACTAGATGTTTAAGTGTCCTACCTGTTGTGTAAATTATCCATTACATCCTATTTTACTTGTCCAGAGGGTTCGAAAATATTTTTAAATCGAAGTTTCATTTGAAAAGGTTTACGTTAGACGTTTCAAACCATTATGTTGAATTTTTCAAAATTTTTAAATAAGGTGTGTTAAGATGAAATTTGTATCATCAATTAATTGGAATATTGTAAAATAGTACAATTTGTTGACCAGAATAAAGGTTGGGACATATTATTCAGTTACAACAAGAGTGGTATTGAGCCTTTAACAATCCTTTAAACTCGTTATGATTATCTTGCGAACGTGTCATTTGTTAACGGTCCGTTAAAGTTCTGTTGCTGGAGAGTCAATTTCATTATCCGTTAGCTAACGGATTGATTAAAGTTAATCCAAGAGAAGACTGTTCATTGGCTGAATTTTAAATTCAATGTACATGTATAACAACTTCCTAGAAGTTAGTATTAACAAGAAACTGAAGACAGTGGGACAACTGTGCAGTCTGTTCACTAAACTTGATTAAAGACAAAAACGATAACTGTAGAATTTACTACAGAAAACACTATTAAAAAAACTAAAGAATACTTTATTTTTTTCCTTTAGAAATTTTAACATAAATCTGTAGGAAAAATTATGGGATTTGCACTACAGAAATTGTAGAATAGTTAGGGCCATTATTTCCTACAGGCCCACAAAAATCTGTAGAATACTATATAATTTAATTCTATAGAAAATGGAATAGCCCCCACCCCCCGCCCCATCGCCAAACCCTCTAAAATGTTCAATAGAAAATTACACTGGTAATCTATGACGTTTTGCTAAGGATATACGTATAATGCTATCGTTAAACAGTAGGACGTTAAACCCCATTTCATTTCATTTCATTTCAATGCCATCGTTAAATAGATAACGGAGTCCAACACCTCCGTTAAATATAACGGCAAGTTAACGACATGTTAAAGTTAACGGGATTTTCTCTCCGTTAGAGATAACGATCCATTACCATGTTAACGAGTCGTTAAAAGTTAACGGAGTTTTAACAACCAACCCCTGAGTACTTACTAATAAATATACTTAAAAAATATACTTGCTAAGAATATACGTATAATGCTATAGTTAAATAGATAACAGAGCCCAACATCCCCGTTAAACATAACGGCAAGTTAACGACATGTTAAAGTTAAAGTAGCTAAGTCTCTAACTCAGTATCATCTAAAATCTTCGACATTGAAAACAAGATTTATTTGTCGGTTTAAATCAACATTGATGTTGTGATCTTACCTCGAAAAGATGGCCTTCTGATATCCAATATTTAAGACAAAATAAACATTTTACAATTGGTACACGAATCGTGTACCATAATGCGATTCAGCGCTATTTGTAATATGGGACTCGAAAAACGAGACTAGGCATATTCCAC